GTGCACCCCGAAAAGGAACGTGTTCAATTGCCTATGGAAAAAAAGAAATAATCAATAAATAATATATAAATGAATGATAATCATATACACAAGTCATATTAGTATCAAGTGATAAACATTTATAATCATAACAATACCAAGGTACTACAAAAAAAAGCGAAAGAATTCTTTGAAAACAACAAAAGACAATGAATGACTTACCACCAAGGACAAGTTTTGACGGTGAAATTTCAAAAATTTGTGTAAAATTACTCAAACCAGCTGCAACTTGAGCAATAGGTGAATTTGCTGAAGCTATACAATCATTTAAATCATATATTTGTGATCGTAAATCATACGCCATGACAAAAAGAAAGTCACTAGCACTTGCTAAACCCGTGTAATCATAACAACGACCATCAATACAAGGTGCACTCCAAGCAATATCAACACTGACCTTTATATGAGATCTCATCATTATATATACATTCGGTATGCATCAAGAATATAAGATCAGAAAGTTTTTTCATAAGATACCAAGTATTTCACTCAATTTCAAATAATGTCTTGAATATCCAATGAAGTTGTCTATCACATGCATTCCATACCGAAATTTCATAGATGAACTAATAGAGGAAGGTATCTTACAAAGCAAACATAGTATCTTGCAAGTTCTCGAAGACTATGCAAAAATTAGATTTTCAAAGCATCATTTTAAAGAATGTAAAATCCAGAATCAAATGTGGCGTCTCGACTTATCCATCCATTTTCCGTTAAAAAGTTATCAGTATCACAAATAACAAAATAAATATGCGATTTTTAACAACGCTATGATAAATTTTGCTATTTCTCATTTTTTGTCATGTTGATAACTTTTAAAGAAAATGTTGTAGGAAATGCAGTCACTTCCTATTTTTTAACAAGACTTTGTGCTCTTGAAGATAGTACTCTTAACAAATAATTTGTCCATAGTCGTATGAGACTTCTCAATTACATTGCTTGTTTTTTCAGAAATATTCTACTTATAGTCTATTCGCAACATTTCGATATGAAATGTATTTAATAGAAAACTACATAGGCAATTCGAATCACTATTTCAATTCGAGATAAATGCTTGGTATGATAGAAAAACATATGTTGGTCTTATATTTGTGACTAGTAATGTACATATATAATATCATTGATATAGAATAATCTTACTTTTGATCCGGGTACTTGTACATGTATAAGATTAGAAACTTCTTGAACAAGTTGCGTATATTGATATGCTGCCTCACTACGATCAGCAATTTCATCTTCCATATCAAGATTAAGACCATCCGTAAAAGTCTTCTTTACTTTTTTCACGTACATATTAATCCATTCAGTTCGAGCTGTTACATTATCTAATTGTTTTACATCATAATTAGCAAGCCATACAAGACGAACCTGTCGTGAATGTGCTAAACAAAGAAGTTGAGGATCAAAATCATCTGTACATATGACGATTGTTGTTAATTGTGAATAATCATATGAACGCCAATTAGAATTTGATACCATAAAAGCTATTTTCTCATGACGAGATCCAACTTGAAGTGATTGACATAGAGAAATATCCGGACATGGACATTCACTTGTTATTGAATTTATACAAGCAATAACAATCAAAAGAATGACGAAGTTTAACATCTGGAATGAAAAGAAAAAGAGAGTAAAGCAAATAGATACATTTCTTGACAAGATAATATATCTATTATATGAATCATCAATAGATATGTAATATCGACCTCGTCACATTTTATGCAGAGTGAAACTAATATAGTCAAAGAAACTTCTCTACACTTTATCAAAATTTGGAAAAAACAATAATTGAATAATAAATAGAAAGTCATTAAATTTTTTATAACTGCTAAATCTGAATTGTTTGATTCTAACAAGACTACTACACTAAAATCTTCCATAGTGAACACCTCCGTATAGTGGACATTTTTCAAAGCTTCAGCTATTAATCTTTTGCTGGAAATGAATTTCTCTACATTGAACACTGTCATATAGCTCTGTGGTGAATACTTTCGACAGGTCCCAATCATGTCCGCGATAAGGAAATTTTACCATGTTTTAACCACTGTTAATTTTCCGAGAAAACAATGAAAAGACAAGTAATATAACGACACCTAATTACTTTATTCACTAACATTCTTCAGAGGATGAGAGAACTAGTCTGTTCTGTGTAAAAAAAGCTTGCCTTTAGAAAAAAACTTAACTTCCCTATGGCGAACACTTGAAAATTCCGCAAGGTGTCCACTATAGAGAGATTTCAGTGTAATTTTATTTAAAGAAGCTATTAAAAAAGCATCATATGTTCAAATTAGTCGACTTTCCCTGAGCAACTCTTCAGGAAGTCTCGACAGATTAACGAAGTCTTCAGTAAGTCCCTGTTCGGAACCTCCGAGAAGTTGTGCGAAGTACGAGAAAGTTCGTGATACAATCTCTGTCGATGGTTTCAAGAAATAAAGAAAACAGCAAGAAAGTCTTTGAGTAAGTTTCTAGATAATTCCTGAAGAATTCCTAGGAATTCCTCAGATAACCGTTCAGGTAGTTGCCATGGATCCTTCATGCATTCTCCAAACACTATCTCAAATATATTCTTGCTGTTTTCTTCTTCATTTCTTGGAATTCCGACAGCTTCTATCCCAGATTTTCTCGTGCATCGCTCAATTGCTCGGGGACTTACTGAGGACTTTGTTAATCTGTCGAGACTTTCCGGGATATTGTCTAGGGAGACTTGACTAGGACAAAAACCATCATCGGTTATATGTTGATAAATTGCATAATTTACACGGTTTCAAATATAAAAAAACCATATTCAAAGACATGATACACCAAATAAATAACCAGTGCAAATGAAAATTAACAATTTTACATAAATCAATACAAGCAGTTTTTTTGCTTCACAATTTTTGCTATTATTAAAAAAAAGAATACGGTTCTTAAGAATTTTGAAATGGGAATATATCAAGCCAGATTGACGGATACATTTATCCGTCTTTTCATCGTAACCGTACTTCATACTCCAAGTAAACTGAACGTATTTTCTCGTTATCTTGGGTACAGTAGTACGGTATTGTATGCAATCGTATATGTGAGGTAATCTCACCACCATACGGTTGTATTTCTCCGCGAGCATGTAGGTGTGGATTTGTATGATGTGTAAGTGAAGCGTCTGTGGGTCTTAGGTCTTATTATTGAATTCAAAGATGCCCATCCCACAAATCGACAGCTATACCTACAACCACACTACGCTCACATTTCACACCGATACTCGCATTCATACCCCAATCAAAGTCCAATTCAAACAAGATTTATTAATATTTAAAATGGTAAACGTTATGACAACTTTTCAATGTCGAATTCAGGAAAATTCTACAATCTGACATTCTATTAGCATACAATAATTCCTTTGATGAAACATTTCAAATTAGATTTGATTGAACAATAAACAATTTCACACATTAAAATTTATTTTTGAAAGTTACATGAATAGAATTAATAATTAGTATGACGACCACTAGTATTGTTTCCAACACGAAGACATGATGGTATGAATACAAAAAAGTTTCAAATAATTTAATATTTGTTTCAAGACAACAGCATCGATTTTTGGACTAACGATAGCTAGTAAGGAAACTATGTCTCAATTATATATGACTGAGTATATTGAGACAAATGAGCAAGTATGATTGAGAAAATAAATACCATTAGAAACGGAACATTTTTTTGTCAAATGTAAATGCTGCAAAAACACGTTTCATATGTTTTGACAAATATGGAAACAGATGTCGAGCTATTTAAAACTTGTTTATAGGCGTATCTGTTATGTCTTCTTGGAGGAAAAATGTTAATGGTCATTATACTAATGCTTGATTGCCTTCATCAAGCTTTCAAAAGTAAAATATATTTGATGATATTCTTCATTTTTCATTAGATCTAGTTTGAAGCGTCCGCTCAACAAGAAATCATGCTATGCTGCTGGGTCAAACTTACAAGGGAACCTTTTCAAATTCCCCTTTCCGATTTCAATAATTTTCACGAACAAATACTACATTGTGTTCTATATAGAAACCCTAGAAAGACTTGGATTTCTATTGAGATTGAACTAAGTTATTGAATTTTTAATGTCTCTTTTCTAAGGGCCCAGGTTTTCGAAAAAGTCGTATTTTGAAATGTTGATCTGAAACTTGGTCCACATAGAAAACTCAACTAGATTAGCTTTCATAAAAAAGTTTCAGAAATCTTGAACAAAATCTCTTCGAGATAAAAATCTTTCAAAAAATGCATATTGGATAGACTATCCATGAAAATGGCCTATATCTTGAAAGTCTGATATCTCGAACAGACCTTGTTCAAAATTTCTGAAACCTTTTTTATGAAGAGTAATTTAATTGAGTTGTCTATTTAAGCAAATTTTCAAATCAAAGTTTAAAAAATTACGAGTTTCCTGAAAATCGGGGATCATCAAAAAATAGTCATATGAAAAATTCGACAGCTTTAATCAAAGCTCAATAAGGATCCAAATCTTTTTAAGATTTTTACTAAAACAATAGTTTTTGTCTATAAGCAAATAAGATCATTGAAATCAGAAGGGTACATCTGAAAATGCTTCTTGGTTAATAGAAATTTTGCATTGGTTACTGGATATTGTTTCAAAATACAACGTTATCCATGCGGAAAGAAAATATTTTTACGCATTCTGTACATGCAAGCTATGTTATTTGTTAGTTTCTTCTTATTTCTTTTTTTTCTTTAACCTCATTATTTCTTATGTTGACATTCAAATTGTATTCTATATATTAATCAAAAGTAGAAGAAATAGACATGCGCAAACTTATATTCTGTAAAGAAAAAAAAAACGATAAATGTCTTAACACCACCCATAGACACGAAAACCAGTGTTTGATCTACAAGATCAAACAAATAGACAACAATAATAATATACATATAAGAGAAGAAAAAAAAAAAAGAGAAAAGAAAGAGAAAAACCATCATCCACTTTTCGCCGGGGTAATATATCTTGCTGTTGAAGATTTGTCAATTGATAATGAAGAAGATGTTTCCATAATTGAATCATCATATTGTTCGCCTTCATCACTTAGTTTTTCTTCTAGAACGAGACATATGTTATTATTAAAAAAAGAAGAAAAAAGGGAATTTATTTACGATTTTCTTCGTCATCATAATAAGTAGCTTTTATTCCATCGACAATATTTAAATGATCACGTTGTAAATGATCTTTTATTGATGCAACATGTAATATACATTTTCTACAGTGTTTAAATTTTGATTGTATAGTACGTCCTTGATCAACCTTATTAAAATGAAGTAATAAATGTTTATATGCTGATGTACCATTTAATATATTTGTTGAATTTATCATAAATGGTAATTCAATAGCAAGAAAACAATATGGACAAAAAAAATATCGTGTTCCTTTATGTACTTCATCAATATGATAGACCATATCAGCATGCATTGATGTACGAAATGAACATACTTCACAAAAATAGGGCATCTCCAAACCACAATGACAAAGATTTAAATGTGCTATTAATTCTAATAATGATGTATGACGTTGTTCACATATACGACATGGATATTCATTCATTTCAAGCATATGTTTATCATCAATATGTATAGCTAAAAAATATGGATTAGAAAATTCTGATTGACAATGTAAACATTTTGTATTAATTTGTTCAAATGGTGAATTCGATTGAAATTGACGTTCATTATTATTTTGTTGTTGTTGTTGTTGTTGATCAAAATGTTGACATAAATGACTTATTAATTGAATATTATTTTCGAATATTAGATCTTCACAAACAGGACACTAGAATATTTAAAGATTTATAAGAAAATAACAAAACAATTTTTCTTTTCTTTTCATTCATACTTGACTTCGAAAGTCTCCATAATCAGATAAAGGTAAATTTCGACCGGGTTTTTGACCATAATATTTAGATAAAGCTCGTTTATATGTATGTTCTAGAGGAAGAAAATGATTATTTTATTAATTTTATAGAAAAAGAATATTTACCAAGTTCGACTTCAAGACCTTCTTCTATATGAAAAAAAATTGCAGATGAAATTTTTTTTTTAAAATAAAGTGAAAGAATTCATTTACCTCTTGTTCTAACTGTGCCTGGTTTAAGACGAGGTAACGGTTGATCACGTGGATATTGTGTTGAAGCATTTGGTGCAAAAGCTGGTTGTAGAAAAGGAATAGTTGCTTTACGTGTTGGTTCTGGCTTAACAAATTGTGTTTGATAAAATTGTCCACGTGTTGGACGTTGTTGATTACTGTTTGTATGACGTTGCTGTTGTTGTTGTAATGGCATGGATTGCCGAATATTTCGATAAGAATTTGCATTATTACCACGTTGATATGTTGATGAATAATTATTTACTGTTGAATTAGGTCGTTTTGACCATGGTAATCGATCATCTTGTTGACGATTAACCCAATCACGATCACGTATTGTATCATCTTGATCAACTTCATCTAAATTCCAATCGTCTAAATCTTCTAATTCATCCGGATCATCATCAATATATGTTGAACGATGAATTGAAGGTGGTTGTAATGGTGTATTTGGTGGATAACGTGGATGTATACGAGGGCGACCAACAGGATTACGTGGTTTAATCGTTACACCATTTGTTGTATCGGTTCGATCAAGAGCCTATCAAGCATCATTTATTCGATTAATATGAATCAATAATTCATCAGTATGACTTGATGAGATTAGTAAAAGATCAAAAGATACCGCTCTAATGAATTCAATAAATTATAACTAGTAGAATAATGAATGTCCCTCGAATATAAGAAAGTGAAATACTAGGAGTAGAATTTTTAGAAGTTGAAATGAATGACCAAGTTGCCTTCTTTAAGAATTACTAAATACTTGCTCTATGTGTATCTTATAGATTATAAGTCTATTTCATATTTCGAAGTAAGTCAATTCTTAATGTCGAATGAAAATTGTTTTAGATTTCACTAAAAGACAACTCTCGGAATTTCCTATCATCTTCTCTTTTTTTTTTATCTTAGTTTGTATACGATTAACGATGATTGTGACGTATCTCTAGTCGTTTTTAATAATCTCAACGTCTTTATATGGCTACATATGTGAATAGCCTTTGGTAATATCTATCAATATAATTCTTTTTAGATTGTCAAGTATATAGTGATAAGTTTAGTACAATCTTTTTTTTCAGTCAACTCTTATAGATTTATGACATCAATTTAACATTTATAATTCTAGAAAATGATTATGAAATTCTATTTGATAGAAATAGATTAATGATTAAGACTTTTATAGTAAACATAAACAAAAAACGTACTTTAACAGGACAATGTATCATTTGACTATCCGATAATTGCTCTTCAAAACAAAACATATTTAAATCCATATCATTAATTTGTTTTGTATCATTATTTATTTCTTTAATACTATCATCAAAATTGTCAGATGTTGGTGATACTGAAAGATTTTGATTTGATTGTTCTTGTTGTTTTTGATAATTATTCATATTATTATTACGATAAGATAATGGTGTTGTTCGTTGTTTATTATAATTAATATTAGTTATAGTTTGTTTTGTACGTATATTTGTCATATCAGATCGAAAACGTTTTGTTGGTGAGGAATTTTGTTTATCCATAAGTGATCGAGAATGGGTTGTAAATAATGATGGTACAGCATTTGGACGTAATGTTGTAGGTCCTTCAAAGTCATTTGGTATAAAATGTTCTCGACAAACTTTGAATGTTGATGTTAATGGTGAAATTGATAAATGTTCAAAACCACAAGCATCAAGCCATTGACGAGCAACAGTTGGATCACGTGGAATTTTATATAATTGTACACGATGACGACGTGCAACATAATTATGTATACAACCATCAACATGACAACGATTTGATGCTTTATTTTCAAACTAAAATCATAACATTAAAAAAAATAATTAAAAAAATTTTAGTTTTTTCTTTTATAATCTTTTTACATTTTCATGCTGATTTTGTGTTGTTTTATTAATAATAAATGATGATTGATTTTTTTCAATTTGTTCTTGTTGAAATAAATTTCCTGTCATTGTAGGTGCTAAACGTGTTTTAACATGACCACTTTCTAATTTTAATATTGGTTCTAATGTTCTTCCATCAATTTCAGGATTACTTGTATGAAATGTAATATTCGTTTTTTTATTTGTTTTATTTGTTTCTTGTAATTTATCTTGAAATGATATCATTTTATAAAAAACTTCCAAATCAAATAATGTTGGTAATGATTTTGGTTTAAGAACTTTTGTACCATTACCAACATAATCAAAACATGATTCTTCAAAATGTTGTTCACATACACGATGTATATGTGATGGGCGTAAATCTGTACGCATTGTATTTTTGTACCAAGCTGCAGCAATATTTGCAATATGAACAGGTACAGCAAAATATTGTATTGAAGAATTTGATTGTAAACCATTTGGACAACCATGTACAATACATAATGGTTCATGATTATTAAAATGTGACCTAAAAGAAATAGAAGATTTTTGTTTATTATTATTATTCTTATTGGTAAATTAAAATGACGACCATATTCGACTTACATCTCACCTCGTTGTTGTTATTTGAGTAAAACAACGAATAGTAAATTAGAACTAGTGAGTGGACACTGGCGTGCTCCGTCGGCGGGAATATGCTATAATAGGGGATTTGTATAGAAACACCAATAGAGAGGCAAATATGTAATGAATAAATATGGAGAACGATAATGATAAATACACGAACACAACAGAATAAGAAAATGAAAGCGCAAGAAAGGAGAAAGACAAGAAAGGAAAAAAACCCTAAGCAGTGTTACGATCTGTTTTTTTTTCTCTTTTCTTTCTTTGCGTTCTGTTCGGTTCAAGAGAAGAAAACGGCGGTCTAACTGACGAATGTCAGGTGAAGAAATGAACTTTTTACAATAGGAAATGTCAATGTTCTTAGTATGTTTAAAATAAAAACAAAGGTTCTGTAATCTATAAAAACAAACGATCAAAATACTTTAATTAGAAGTGATCAAAATAAAAAATATGATTTTCAATAGACGCTTTATGTAGCAGACAAGAGTCGACTTATATATATATATATATATACATTATATTACATTGAAAAATTGTTCTATTAGCATAAAGAAAGAACACCAAGTATTCTATTTGTTTAATGAAAATAGATTTATACTGGAATCGAAATGAAAGAACATATCAAAATATGTTATTCGCAATCAAATGAGTAATGTTATTTCAGATATAAAGCGAAATTTCGTTCCGT